TAAAGGAAAACAGCTGGGTAGGTTTCATCCCGCTATCAGTAGATGTAGACAATGTATGTGTGAATATTCAATACGGAAATATTTAATACTGGGAAATCATTAAGACAGGGGAAAAAAATGGTCTCTATATAGGAGCTCCTGAAGTTATTGCTTGCAAAATTCAACTGAAAGTTTTCAAGGAAAATCTATCCTCCTCTTCCAACAAGAATAATATTTATCCATACTTTCATTTCTGTATGATGTTTTTAAATGTACAGAATGTGCCAAATACAATATTATTCCTCCTTTCTTTAAAATAAGGATGTATTTTGTATATAAAAAGTCTTTAAATAATGTTCTGAGTTATACGGCTAGCTATCAAAACTCACTCATGAGTGCTTTCCGGAAACAGAGGTACTGGTGGTGGGGAAATCCGAAACTCTCCTCTCCGTGGCCGAGACGTCGGACGGCTGGTAGCTGCTTCCAATGGCTATGGCACAATAAAAAAACTGGATTTATACGTATGAAATTATAAACAGATGGATCCATTTTCTTCCCAGATGCTTACAGCGCACATACGGATATTAAGCATAGGAAGTTTTCAATCTGGACAAAGTGCTCTTTTGGAAAGGCATGAATCCCCTTGCTGCAGGAAGACCTTGCACAAAACCCGGGGCTCGCCGCCAGGACAGCACGGCTTCGCGAGAGCCGGGGCTGCTCGGCCAGCAGAAAACCCCACGGGACAAGGACTGCGGAGGCTTGCCTTTAAATCCCACCTTTGTTCTAAGACTGGTGGAAATCAGCCCAGGCTCTCTTAGTATTTTTTTGGAGCTTGAATATGGTATCAAACAGCAAAGGGGGGAAACCTGAGCATGGCCATGTTCCAATATGAGCCTGCAGCTCACTATACATCCCAGGGCTTAACAGGACACAGGGAAAAATGCTTAAGGAAGTGCAAAATCCAGCACAAAATAGGGTAAAACAACAACTCATAGACTAACCAAGCTCACCCGCGGCAGTGCTTTCCGGAGCTGGGCGAGAAGGGGCGAGCCGGCGCTCCGTGGAAGGCCCGAGGAAACGTCCCCACGCTGGGGCCACCGAGGAGGGTGCCGAGGCTGGGGGATGAACTGCAGAGCCGGGCGCTGCCCTTCGGATACCAGACCTCGGGTTTTCTGCAGCCACGCTGCTGCTCCCAGCAGCTGTGGCAGAGGGAAGGGACGTGTTAATGTGAGAGCCCTGGGGATGCATTTGCTCCTGGCAAGCCCCAGGCACAGGATAAGGACTCGGCAGCGCTGAGGTTTTCAGTAAGTTCATGTGGAGTGGGGCAAAGTCTCTGTTTCTGAGAGCTCTAGAAACAGCTGCTTGCGAAGCAAATGAGGGGAAGATGTGGGGCCCAGGGATCTCGGGTTTGTTGGCCCGTGCAGGTTGTTGGAGCACAGGCGTCTCACCCCATCTAGCCGAGAGCAAACCCACCCGGTGTGGCCATGAGCGTGGGTTAGCGACCTCACACCCCACTACAGCACCACTCAGGTGGGACACACAGCTCAGGTGGGGCTGAGACCTCGCCTTTGCTCTGCAGCTGGCACCAAACCAGCCAAGACATTCTACAGCTGTAGTTGCCCACCCTGCAGAAAACACAGTGATAAGGTCCAAAGACCTTTTTTTTTTAAGTAGAAAATGTTGGGGGTTTTTGACCAAATTGTTTTTTCCATTGCTTTTTCCTGCTTTCAGCAGGGAATTTCAGCTAACCACCCAAATAATAACAGAGCGCATGCAAAACGCAGCATCTTCTCTGTTTCAAGAAAGCAAAAGCCTTTCTATAAAAGGCTTTTTAAAGCTCTAAAACAAACCCATGGGCCAGCAAAGCTTACCTCCAAAAGCGCTGTCCGTGGCAGGCAATGCTGTGAGCAAAGGGCTTGTGGAATCCCCTGTGACATCCCTGAGGTGTAGTGCCATGCGGTTTGCACCAGTCTGGGTACTGGAAGCTCGGGGGGAGGACTGGGGCTGTCCCGGAGATCCAGGGAGGGGGGTGCTGGGGAGGGGCTGCAGCATCCCCCCACTGTTCCCCGAGGGGCTGGGTGAAGCGGCCATGGTGCCCACAGGAGGGCTGCTGTGTGGCTCCGTGCCTGCCCAGCCGCTTGCCTGTCGAGAGGGGCCGCCGGTGCCTGCAAGGCAATAGAGGAAAGCAAATGAGAGCACAGAGATGGGCTGAGCTGCCCACCCAGCATCTTCTGCTGTCACCCTCTGCCTCCCCCCACAGCCCACAGTCCCCTTGCCTGTACTCTGCCTACAGCAACTTCGTGTTTGGGAGCTGCACCGAGTAATTCCTAATTACTAAGGCCAGGAGAAGCCACATGGATCCTCCTCTCCACCCTCATGCATGAAGCAAGCCAGAAAACTGCCCTGAGCACATGGTGAGGATGGAGGGATGGATCCAGCGCCCAAAGATCTAGCAATGCAGGGAAGCCAGGCTTAACCGATGCCCATTTTCTCCAGGGAACAGCATCCACCTCGTTCCCAGGCTGAACTGGGATGGCTCACCTGGGGGACGAGTCTCCGCAGAGGAAGGCGGCAGCACCATCCTTGTCACATTGTCGAACCCTGCCACGTCCCAGGTCACACGGCGCCTGCCCAGCGTCCTCTCGGCTGAATCGGTGCTGATGGATGCCAAAACCTGCGGTGTCCTCTCAGCAGCTGCAGGGGTGCCGGGAGAAGCCAGAGCCCTTTTGCCTCTCTCCTGGCTGCCCGCAGCATGGTGATGGCTTCCAGTGGCTGGAAAGCAATGCAGAGAGAGTCATGTTCCCCCTGGACCACTTAACATGACTCAGCTGGGGTGGCAGCAGCATCAACCGCAGTGGTACCCAGCCCTACCATACGCAATAGACAGGGTCGCAGCAGCATCCCCCGTGTTTCCTCTATTTAACATAGAGCACACTGCAAGAGGGACTGCTGGGAACAGAGGGTTTCTGTCACCAAAAAATATTGGTATTTCAAAATTTGTCTTCATTTGTGCATGGCAAGAGAAACACAGATTTTTTTTAAAACACTAAAAATGCACAAGGCAGTAAATAGCTTATGCCAGGACAGCCAGCAGCTGGCAGCCTGGGTATGTCAGCTCCACACTCTAGTCCCTAAGCAGGAAAAAAAATGAGGAATTAAAAAATTAAAGACAACCTCTATGCTCATATATCAGTGAGACACTTACTTCATCTGGGGATATTAAGAAAAAACCTGAAATGGGGACAGGACAATCAGCACAGCCTTGACCTGCTGGTGTGGGAAACAGGCTTTGATTTAGTGCATGCTTAAGAAAGTACATTAGTTTACTCATGATCACAGTGCCACTAAAAGTGGTGAAGATTATGAACAAGCCCAAAGGTAAGTGTTCACTTGCATGATCTCCACATGAGGACCTCAGCCACAAATCATGACGCAGCTGGTCAGGCATTTTTAACTTGGGCACCCTTAATCTAGGTTGAGTTCGCAATGGGGTTCAGCTCCTCCCGGGAGGGGGCGTGGGGATACAGGGGGGTCTCCGCTCTGCTTTGAGGTCCATGGATGGGCAAGACTCTCTGGGGTGGCAAATAACGACAGCGGCAGCTCCCAAAAATCACCTTCATTGTAACTTTAAAAAAAAAAATCCGTTTTCCTGGGATGGGATTTCTTCCCAAAATCTGAATTTCTAGCAATAGGGCGAGAATCCTTCCCAACCCACCAGCTACGCTCGGTTCATGGGCTGGGTAAGGCAAACAGGGACTCTCGCGTTGATAAAACTCACCGGGAGGATGGCTGCGGGCAGGCAGACGGGTTGCTGTCCCGGCAGACGGGCTGTCTGGGGGCCCTGCTCCTGGCGGGGTGAAATCCCCACCGCCGGTGGGGGGACTGATGTGCTCCGTGCCCCCGCCCGCCGCTGGCACCGCACCATGCCTGGCAGGCAGCGATGCCTGCTCCCTGCTCCCGGCCAGCATCGTCACCAGCTCCATGCTGTCCACAAGAGCACCAGAAGTCCTTATCTCCATGTCCGAACTTCTCGCCTGATGGCTGCTTTCGATGACTGAAGGGAAAAACAAGAAAAAATTAAAATCCCATCAGTGTTGGATGTGTGGGCTCGGCTTGTTGCAGTAACACCGAGGCCAAGCTCTGATCTCATTTACACTAGAGAAAATTTTGCATAATCAAAACACAGACATGAAATTTATTTTTGGATTCACACCAGTGGAAATTAGATTGGTCTGTGGGGCCAAATGCTGAAACCCCTGTGTGTTAGGAGAAATAAAGGAGAAAAAAAAAAAAAAAAAAGCCTTAAACAAATAACCGATGGAGATATGTGCAGTGTGGAGTCCATGGGAGGAGTCTGTACGTCTCCAGAGTGATGGCCAGCTGGAGCCCAGCATGGCCCATGTGCCCCACCCCGAGGGCGTGATGGGAGTGGGGAGGGCCCCGCAGCTCTTCCCCTCTCTCTGCCCGGATGGTGCTTGCTGGACACCTGACCTCAAATCCCACTGCCTCCAGACAGCCAGTGGGAAGCTGTGTGAGAACTGCAGGGCAAACAAGAGGGTTGGCATAACCCATTCAGCCACCATGAGGCACCAGGACAGAAGAGATCAATATATGGTCTGGATTACACTGGCTATCCAGGTTCTGAAGCACCCCAAGGTGATGGACATTTTGGGGTATCTGATGTTAATGTCTACCAGAACATGAGAAACAAGATGGAGAAGAAGTTTGTGTATCTGCAGGTCCATTTTCTGTGAGCAAATGTGGCCAGAGCCCCTGCTCCATTCTAAAAGTGTTTGGGTCTGCTCTCTTGCTCCTGCTGGAAGGCTGCTCCAAACTCCCACCTCTCCCATCATCCAGAATAATTTTCTTTTTTCATTGGAAAATGAATAAACACATTTATGGAATAAATGCTGGTTTCCAAGCCAGCATTACCCTTTAGCTTAGCTAGCTCTTCCCCTTCCTCCGCTTGCTCCCCACCGTGCTGACGTGTAACAGCAGCAATCTCATCCCCTCTTTGCACAAGTTTCTTCTGCATTTCTACCATCTGCTGTATCTCATGGACACAGAAATGACTTCTCCCAGGAAGGTCAACAGTCATTACATGCTTTACGGGATCTCCAGAAGCACACAGATGGCTGTGTGCATTTCTAGAGTATAAACATGTTCCCAAATCAGGCCCTAAGCAAGGACTGAAGACGTTACTCAGTAGCCAACTTCTCGGCTCATAGCGCTGACTGCCAGCAGCAGCAGCAGTACTCGGTCTGGTAGCTGTAGTTTCAGCCTTGGGTCTGCCATCTAGCCTGATACTGCCTGGAGCAGAGCATCTACTGACAGCTGCCATGAGCAGTTCCAGTGAGATTTGCCAGGGAAATTGGGGGTTCCAGCTCGCGGTACCAGCCAGGGCTGCACAAGGATTTCCCTGCACATCAGTCACGTGAAAACCAGCAGCGACTGTCCCTGCCCTACATTACAGCCCCAAGGCTTGGCTGGCACTGCAGCCTCAGATGCTCTTCAAAGTCCACAGCAAGTAAAAATGAGTCCAAATCACGGCTGTGTCATCTGAAATGGTGAGATCCCAGTTTTGCCCATCTTCCTTATAACCAAAACTCAATCTCTGGGCTGGAATAGCCCACAGCATGCTCCACTCGTTGGGTGGGCAGAGTGGGAGCCTGGCTAGAGAAACTGCAATTTAGGGTGGCAGGGTCTGAAGCCTCTCAAGAAACTGAGAGAAGTCATATAGGGAGAGGAACTCTTCTCCACTTTGCAGCTCGAAGATCCACCAGGCTACAGGACGTAACCTGCCTGGCACGCACACAGCATCTCAGATCAGGGCTGCGGATGATACACAGGCAGTGGCTAAAGGCACCACTCAGTCTCTGCCCAAAAGCTCTGATGTTCAAGGTTAAGCCTTGCACATCTGTCCTTGGCCTCCAAGCACTTTCTGTAAGAAAGCTGTGCCTCGGAGAAACTCCCATGGGACACCTACTCCTCCTTGCCTTGCGTGTCTCCTTTGGGGTTGCTGTACCTGCCACGCCAGAGGTAGCAATTTCGGAAGCAGTCTCCTCTCTCCTTCTGCAATAGCTTCAGTGGGAACTCACCAAGAAAAAAAGAGATATGTAGGTAGGACAGTCTGCATTTCGTCCCAGGAGTCTGAGCACCACAAGGCCCAAGGAGACAAGAGCTGCCGTGGAGCAGAGCCCCTTGGGTACCTTTAATGACAGCCCCAGCAGCGGCTGCGATGCCCACCTCACCGAGCACACTGAGGTCTGCCATTTGGAGCCTGCCCTGTCCCATGAGCCAACTCCTGTCCCATGTAACAAGCTGCTTATTGTTGCCCCTTGGACGAAGGGATGCAAAGTCGCAGGGGATGCTCGCTATGCTCATTTGCAAGCCAATACCCAGCCTGTAATTGTAGCCTGCAAGTCCATTTATAGCAGCCCTGATGCTGAAAAATTTGGGTGTGCTGGAGGGCAACACACCGTATTTCCCTCCATTCCCCTCTCGCTAAAAGCTTTCAGCTGTGCAACCCACGCTTACTGTGCCCCAGCAGCCGGCTTTGCTACACAGAAAAAGGCAAAGCAGCAGTTGCTTAAAGAAACCCTCAGGGGATGAGAACAGACAGAGGGAAATTTGCTTTCTCAGGTTGCCAAGTCATTTGTCAACAATCACTCCAGCCAGGCACGCTAAAATATATAGTGGGGCACTGCAGCAGGCATTTAATTACTACTTCTTAAAAATAACCCTTGAAATGCCAGCAAGCAGTACCTTCAGCTATGACCCCTGATTGAACGGCAACTGGTTTGAAAGTAAAATGCTGCTGGTTGCTCCTCTGGTTGTTGTTCGCCCTGCAAATCCACCCCGGAGTTTTCTCTATCCTCTTTTCGCCCCACAGAGCTGCTGGGAATAAAATTAAGCAAAACCCTTCCCCTTATCGTGGGCGCCAGCAAACCTGACTTTGAGTGCAGCCAGGGAGTGGACAGGCTGAATAAGAAGGTATTATTTACACAGGCTTTTTAGAGTCATCTGGCATTTTTAACTCTGCCCTGCAAGGTATGCCAGGCCCCAGTGCAGGGAGGAAAACCTTCTGCCAGCACAGCCTCAGCTCCCCGGTTTGGTGGGTGCAGAGCATGAGCCATGTTGGAAAATCCAACCCACAGCATATAGTAAGGAAAGCCAAAAAAATCAGGCTGCTCAACAAAATAGACGTGAAGTCTCAGCTCATCACAGAGCCATCAAGCCTGCCAGAAGCGCAAGACAACTGCAATCTCCTCTTTGACTTGCCTACAGAAATTAGCCTTCAAAGATGACCCTCCACTGGAGCGGATGGACCAGATGCAAACTTCTTCCAAAAAAATAAACGTGGGACCATCTGGCCTCCCCTGATGCATTAAAGGCTTAAAGCAGAGCAGCCCTTTAGTTCAGGTACCGATTTGTCACTAACAATTTCGTCACATCCTAAGCTGCCAACTGCTTTCTGTGTTTTAACTCCATGCAACCGCAGCCGCCAAGAGAATTATTTGACTTCCAGCACAAAACCCTCCTGCCACCCGCTGGACCGGTGTTTTCCTTCCCAGTTAAAACTAGCAGTGATGCTCACCAGACAGGTCGAGGCTCGGAGTTACTTTTTCTTCGCAAGCATAACAAGTCCGTGGCTTGCTGGGAGCTGAGTTATAATGTGGCCAGGACAAACAGATCAAGTTCCAGCTGATTTCTCGAGGCTTTGGGTTTGCCCCTGGCAGCCCGGCTGGATGTCTACCTTGTGAGACTCCTGAAAAATCCCTTTTGGACCAGTGATTTTTTGTCTCCATCCCTGGGTACAGCACGGGCATTGCCCTGGCCAGGAGGTGGCTGCTGCCAGGGCAACATCATGGTGATGCTCAAGGCTCAACCATGGGACAACACAACACTAAAAAGCACAGTACTGTAAGTTTTCAGCAGTGGTCACGATTTCGCACGGACATTTTAGGGCAGGGAGTGAGGATGGATGTATCCTGCTAATGCCAGGGGAGCAGGATCCCCGCAGACAGCATTTGGCAGGAGCAGCACAGCCAGCCAAGGCGTGCCACGAGCTATCCAGCCCCGCTGCTTTCCTGCAGAAGGGATTTTTCTCATCAAAGGGCAGAAAAATACTCCCTTGACTGGGGAACGCAAATTTAATCTGTGTTTGTACACGAGGAAAGCCAAGAGTGGTTGCTTGGCTGCCCAGAGCAGCCCTTCACCCCAGAGCAGACCCTCCTCGGGAGGGTGGTGATTCCCCGGGGACCGTTCCGGTACGGCCGCCCATGTGGTGGCTGTTTTGCCAGGGCTACGGCCACCCCGGGAGCATCCCATGCTGAGCTGAGCGCGCATGAAGCTAAAGCAGGCTCCTCCCGAGGACAGGCAGCTATAATTATAAAGCCCACATCTGTTAACATTGCATAATCTTAACATCATCCGACGCTCGCAGAGGGAAAAAAACTCAGCTCAACTTAGAAAACTCCTTGCCGGCTGTAGGAAAAGGTTAGGAAGAAAGGCAGGCTGTGAGGGAGGAGAAGCAGGGAGCAAAGCCGAGGCTGCCGGCCTCGCAGCGGGTGGCACGGGTGGCTGCCGGTCCCCATCAGGGCTGGGGCCGGGCTCTGCGCTGTGTTTTGAACGGCTGCTGCGGATGTCGGGATCATGGGTGGAGGCCAGTTAGGAGCCAAGTGAGTTTGTGTGAACAAAAGCTACAGCCCTAAATCTGGACTGTCCAGGGCTCTCTGGGATTTTCAATTTCCTTCCTTGTTCTTGCCCTGAAAGAAGCAGTTCGAGACGGGGGGAGAATGGGGGGGGGGGCTGAAATGGAGCTTAAAAAAAAATTTTCATACTTGAGACGGGTCAGTTGAGCGTAAACACGTTGATAATATTGCTTGGAGAAGGTCCCTCGTGTGCACTAAGCACGGGAAGAATGCGAGAGGTCTTTAACCACATGCAGTCAACCCTTTTTTGCTAATTCTTTCAATATTAATAAAAGGAATTATTCAGGCTGGATGAAGAAAGGTGGTAAACAAGGGTGGATGGGGAAGAGAAGAGGTGCAGGAAAGCCCTGCTGGTGCCTCCCACACTGCTGTGGGGCTCGATTTGCATGGGGTGCCCTGTAGACACATCCCCCAGCAGCGCCTTGCTCTGGTCCTTACGCTCCTCATCCTTTCCCCAATGGGTACCACACAGTGCAAGACAGCAATTTGCAGGACGTTAAATCATTTTACCCATAATACGAAGGATTTATGCAGCCACCAAAGGTGGCTGGAGCTTTAATATGTCAGCTCGAGAAAGGTGATGGGGGCTTAATGCCAGCAGCAGACCCTGCAAGCTCTGAGTGCCAAGGGGTGGTTAACACCTACCCAGCTGCTACGGGTGATGGATGCCCATGGGGCTGGGGACATCGGCATCATCCTCAGCCCTCCCTATGCTGGGCCACAGCACTTTGCTTGCAGTACTGCTTTATGAGACAAAAACACACTGCATTTCCACACCACCTCCCCTCCGAGACCTGTAAAACCACGGAGGATGCTAAAGGCCATTTTTGCTTCCTACCCTTTTTTTCATGATCCCAGAGCCTGATGCTCAGAGATGCCATAAGAAAAAAAAAGGATCTAATTATTGCTATTAAGAGCAGTACCCTAAAGCAGAGAAACAGGTACTCTAAAATAAAGAGCACACAGAAACCTGTGGTCATTACCAAAAGTGTGGGATGCATGCTTAAGGCCTGCCTGCAACCAGGGATAAAACCTGCACAGTGCAGGTTTTATATAGTATAGGTTTTATAAGTCCTGCTTATCCAGTGGTTTCCAGCCTGTTAATTTTGGTGTCCTAAACATCTCTCTGGGGAGGTGCAGGCTCCCAGATCACCAGCTCAAGCCTATGAAACCCTGCGTTTGTTACTCATCTTTCTTGGACAGTTTGGGTTCAATCCACATATCCCTGGGACTCCATGGACTCATGTTGCCTGAAAACCACCATCCCAGGGCCCAGAGCAGTGCCTTAAACCTCTTTTCATGAGCTTTTGTTTTTATATAG